AATAATTAGAAAGGAAGTGATAAAGTAAATGTGGCTAAACAGCTGGTGAATATGAAGAAAGGATCTATGAGAGGGCTTTATAATAGTTGTGTAGCTCATTAAATGTGAAAATTTTCAAAACCTAGTCAAAACCCTATCAATGTACTGTAGATACTTGAATTAAGACTGAGTCTTAGTCATGTTGCATTCCTAAACATGTAAGATGAATTTGGCTTCCTTAAATTTAGAGAAAATCTTATGCTTAAAGTACTTTTTTTAAACAAAGGCATGTTTGCCAGTGATCCAAATGATAGAATTATGTGTAATAAAATGTGCAAGGTATATGATAGAATATGCATAAATCGGTTAAAGAACAATATGATTGTTCTTAAGAGTTTCTTAGCATCGAGGGCTAATGAGTTGGCACAGTAGGTAAAAGCTCTTGCCAAATCTGACCTGAGTTTGATCCCCAGGACCCACAAGGTGGAATGAGACAATTTCACAAGTTGTCCTCTGACTTCCATATGTGCTCCCTAGTGCCACTCCATTCCCCAAAATACTAAATGTAGTAATAGTAACAGTAATAAAGTCAATATGGAATCTGTGTCCAGTAAAAGTTGATTGGAAGCCAAAACAATACTCATTTGTGAAGAAAATTTGAGTAAAGTCTTGTCTGTGAGTTAGGATACATTTTGGCTGTCTGAAGTACAGTTTTCTAACTTTTCATGCAGTAGATTTTGGTGTTAGTTTCAAACCATGTTTTTGTTTTAGGATGGTTTTGCAAGAATAAGACTCGACCAAGACCGACTACCAATAATAGGTAAATTACACTGTGTTCATAGAAGTTAGCTTTAGAAATATTAGGAGTTTATGAAGTGTATTTTATTTAACTAAGTGTAAGGGTTTTTTGTTGTTTTGTTTGAGATGGTCTTGCTCCTTGTCCCAGGCTAGCCTGGAATATGCCATGTAGTTCAGACAGGCCTTAAACTCTCAGTCTTCCTGCCTCAGTCTTCTTAATGCTGGAATACACACTTTTGTTTTTTGTTTTTGTTTTATTTTGAGACAGACTCTCTCAATATCTGGCTATGTAGGAACTGGATTTGTAAACAAGGCTAACCTTGAACTCACAGACCCACCTGCCTCTGCCTCCCCAGTTCAGGATTAAAGGCTTGTGCCACTACGCCTGCTTTTATTATTATTATTTTAAACCATAGAAGTTCTGTGGCTGGGACAGTCTGCCATGTATCCCTGGCTAGCCTGGAACTCAAATTTGTGGAACATGCTAGCTTTGAACTCAAAGAGAGCTACCTTCTAGGTATTGGGATTAAAAGCATGTGCCACTATGCCTAGTAAGTTACCATTTTTAATAAGATTTATGTAAGCAAAAATTTAAATAGTATCTTTCCTGGTTAACTGAAAATGTAAGCATGGATTAATTGATGTCATTAATTCACTATCTGATGTAAAGATTAACAGAGTGATAAAATTCCCCTAAATTTTAATGGTGTTTGTAATTGCAGTTGTTTTTGTGGTTTCTGTTTTCCTGACCACTTGTCCATGATGGCAGCACTTTCCCTTTGAGGTTCTATGCTATTTCATACTTACCTATGCATGACCCCTCTCTCTTCCTCATGGCCCTCTAAAGTCTTGTGTGGACCATTAAGGACTTTTGATTGCACTTACTTGTTATATGTTCTCAGTTGCATATTGGGCTTACCAGGGTTTAGCTGGGTGGTTACTGCACAGATATGCATAGAATTCTAGGAAGTACGTACAAGTTTCTTCTCAGTACAGACTTCATTCCTATTATCAATTGCTGTTCAAGTTTCCCTGTTCTGATCGATGATGTTTGAAATCTCTTTCAAACAGAGCCAGTGATTAATGAAGAAAATGAGGGAATTGAACAAAACACACAAATTAGGAGTCAAGGGATTATTGCCCTGAGTTACCGTGACTGGGAGGTAAGGCCCTGCAGGCTGCCCAGGGCAGTTCTGACCTGTGACTTCATTTGCTGTAAACTGCCTGAATGTTCCTATTTCTGACCAGGAGATTGTGAAGACCTTTGAGATTTCTGAGCCTGTGATCTCGCTGAGTCAGAGCCAGCAGCGACTAAGTGCCTGATGCCAGCTGAAGGTAACATTTCCTACATGGTAGTCACACAGTTGTGTTAAAATTTTATTAGTCAACCCAAACCATAGTATTTCCTCATTCCTGTGAAATTTGGGGTTTGCCTCCCTCTAGTGTTCCATTCCTAGAACTGTATCTGATAGGGAAGGCAGTGGCTGTCCCTCAGGATGAAAGAGCAGTGCAGAACTCTTTATTGGTTTGTTTACATCTGACAATGGATGAGTGCTATGGAGTCCTCTCCAGTGTTAATTCGATTTCTTTTTAATAGACACGAAGCATAAAGGGAAGATGAGGCTAGAATCACCTTAGAGTGATGTTAGTAAGTGGACATTTTTTAAATGAATTATACTATGAAAATTTCATTTTTTTACAAAGGGGAAGATTTCTAGAAAGATAGTGTAGTAACTGTGATGTGGTATTCTGTACTGAAGTCAGCAGTGGGTAGAAATGACCTTGAATCTTTTGGCTCTGCCCTCAATTTTAAAACCTTATGGAGTCCCTTCATTTTGCACATTTATTTTCTTTATCTGCAAGTGTCTATAAAATAACTAGTTTTTTAGCTTCAATTTTTTTCTCATTTTGAGAACTAAAATTAGCTTTTAAAATACTTTTTATAAATAGTATATTTTCAATTCATGGAACTTCTTTTGTTTCAAGATAGCTTACCTTTGTCAGACTATCGTGAGGGAAAAGAACTATATGAGGAGTACAGTGGCTTAACCTGGTCCTATTTGCTGATGAGGGGCTAGTCACTAGATTGCATATACATGTCTAACATGTTGGCTATTAACCAGATATCTTCCCTTTGCTTTATGTCTTTTAGAACTGAAGGCAATAGTGAAACCCTGAAAGGAAAGCAGCGTATAGTGTATATATGTATGATTAAATGTTTTTAAAGATGAAGACTGTTTTTAGTAAAATGTAGCTTTTGAGAGTTAATGGACTTGTCATGGTTGTCTTTGATTAAAGGAAATTCACTGCCATATTCACAAATAATTGTCTTTATTGTCTCTTCCTGGGAGGAGGATATGGTCCTCTCTTTTCTAGTTCTGTTCCAATAAAAGTTTTACTTGGGTTGTCAGTGTCTGATTATTATAGTGGTTTTGTTTTTGTTTGTTTTATGTGTCCTTGGTTGTAAAATTAAGCTGTCTGCTGGGCGTTGGTGGAGCACGCCTTTAACCCCGACACTAGGGAGGCAGAGGCAGGTGGATCTCTGTGAGTTCCAGGACAGCCAGGGCTGTTACAGAGAAACCCTGTTTCAAAAACAAACAAATCAGTTGTTGGCTGGTGAGATGGCTCAGGGAATGAACATTTCATACCCATGTCAAGGAAGTAGAGAATCAACTCTACAACTCTGACCTCCACATGTATGCGTGTAACATGCTCCCTTCCTGTGATATTCAGAGTCTTACATAAGAATTGGCTAAGAATCATTTGGAAATCTGTTTCAAAATCCTGGCAGAGTAACTCCTTTCCCACCAGTCTTCTGAGTCTGTGTTGTACCACTTTTACCAGTTCTTTTCCAAATTAACTCCAATGGATAATGCTGTGTATTTGATGTGAACCTTTACACCCTAATCTACATTCTTGGTGTTTGTCTCTCCCTGGTTCCCTACCACTGTTTTACTCCTTTGCTTTATACTATAATGCCTTTATATTGGGAACAGTTTCAAAACTTTATGTATTTAAACTTAAAGTGGCTAGATCTATGTTAAATGATTATCCGCAATTTAAAAACATAACTTCTTAAGTCTTAAAATTTCTACCAGCCAGGCAGTGGTGGCGCAAGCCTTAAATCCCAGCACTTGGGAGGCAGATGCAGGTGGATCTCTGAGCTCCAGTCCAGCCTGGTCTACATGAGCTAGTTCCAGGGACAGCTTCTAAAGCCACAGAGAAACCCTGTCTTGAAAAACAAACAAACAAACAAACAAACAAAAAACCCCCAAAAGATCTCTGTACCAATATTTTTTTCACAGGAATTTTCATTCTGTGAACTCCCCTTATCTATCCTTAACCAGTCACTACTTCTCTTATAGTCTTTTTGTCTGTCTTGCTCAGGCTACTACCCAGACATGTATGTAGAATCCATTATTTTGTCTGTTCAAACCACTTGCCAATTCCTAGTGATTATCACTGCCTTCAAGGTACATGTGCATGTTTGGGTTAAGGACACATGTGTACCATAGTGCACATCTGATGGTTAGTGGGTAAATATGGGTCCCAAGGCCTCTCCAGCTACCTTTTTTGAGGCATGGTTTCTGTTGTTTGCTGCTGCAAACAACATGGTTTCTGCTGTATCACTGTCCATGAGTTTCTGGGGACTCTGTTCTATCTTGCTATAAGATTACTGGGATTACAGACATGTGCACCCACATCTGGCAATTACGTGAGTTCTGGATGTTTGAACTGGTTGTCAGGCTTATGTAATGAGCACTTTTGCCTGCTGAGACATTTCCCCAGCTCTCTTCAGGATTTTAAAAGTCTAAACTTTCTAATGATGTTTAGAACCTTGTGAGATGATTGGCCCATTGTCTACCTTTTCAGGATTACTTCCTCTTCTCTAAACGCTAGCAATCCTCTCTGTCAAAACAGATTTGCTGAGAGTTCACCCACAATCAACTCATCTAATTAGGGTATGATTCATTGTCTTAAAATCAATGGAGCATGCAATCATCACCAAAAAATACTACAGAACAGCCCCTCCCCCAATACTATGTCATGACGGGCCATTCTGTCCTCATTTCACTTCTTCACTCCTTAGTCCTAACCCCAACACCATGATTTTTCAAGTATGGATGTCTAGAGCTGCTGTTTTCCCCTTTCGTGTCTGTTTTCTATGATTTCATTGTACTGATTACTATAAAATATGCTAATCTAAGAAAGAAATACAATAGTCAAGGAAATAACTTAAGCTTTTTTTTTTTTTCCAGTTGACTTTTCAGAAAAGGTGGCATACTCAAGAGCTCTCTTTGGAGTGGTTTCTGTACCTTATCCACTTTTGACTTTTCCATCAGAATAGTCACCTCTATAAGTTTTTCCTGGGAAGGCTGGAAGATAGGATAAGCTGTGACCTTTTCAAACTCTTTCTCTTCCTCTTTCTTCACTTGTGATTTTAAGAGAGGACGAACATGGCTGGTGAAGTTTTGAGTCTTCCTTTTATCATTTTTCTGCTCTGTGAGTTCTCTCCCTCGAGTCATTCTGTCTTTATGTCGCTTCATCTGTTCCTTTGCCCACGCTACTTTGGGCTTTTTATGTACATTTATAGTTTTCTGGATATTTTTATTCTTTTCATCTTCTGATAATAATGGTTTTGGGCCAAGTGTTTCACTTGGAATTCTCTGAGGGAGTAGTCTATATTTCTGGTCTCTGAGGCCTCTAGCCCGTTCAGCTCTGTGGATGTGTTTTTCTATGTGATTCATTTCCCTCTCAGATACTAGATAGTCCCACTTTTTAGCATTGTCTGGTATTTTGTTTTTTGATTTCTTCTCTTTCTCTGGGGCAATGTCCCATTCTGGATCTGGTATATGATTCCATGCTTCTTTGATCATTTCTTGATGTTGTTGATAGTAGTAGGAATCTGCTTTAGCAAACCGGAAGTCAAAAGACATGGTCTTAAGTTTATCAACTGTTTCACTCTCTTGTTGGAACTCCTGGACTAACAGTTTTCTCACTCGTGAAGAATGGGTGCCACCTAAACGCTTGTCAGAGGGAGTAATCAGAACTTTTTAAGTTGGATGTCCTTTATTCTAGTTCCATAGTACAGCTCTCAATGGTCTATTATCCTTGTCTGACACTCTTATACCACACCCAGTTTGGGTCTAACTTTCTCCCCCTTTAAGCCTCCTACACCTCTCCCCCAGACCATTTTCCATCCTAGGTGAGGACTCTGACTTAGACTTCCTTGAAAAATAGAAGCTCCCAGCAGATCCACCTTCCCAACATCAGAGCCACCACCCATCTATCCCAGACTCTATCTTCCTGCTTTTCTATTGGGAACATTCCTGTCTATCAAAAGCTAATTCTTCACCTGTGCTTGTTGAGCTTCAAGGATTTCACTTCTGTATCTAAACTCCCTACTGGGTTGCTTGAATTGGAACCCAGCACGAATGATGTTCAAACAAAAGAGACCCTTACTTAATATCCTTGGCTTTTACCCCTCTGCTGTCTCATTCGCTGTATATACCTGTTCCCCTCCACTCCTCCCCCCAACCTTATAGCTACCCTTATATCTGCCTTACTAGTCTATCCTTAAGATAGAGCATGATCACACTGAGCCTTATCTTATATGGCTGCTCATTCAACAGGCGTCAGTCAAGCACTGATTTAGAGTAGAAGTAGGGCTGAACAGACTTTATAAGCCACATTGACAAGGTGCTCTAGCCTCTCAACTTCAGACCTAGTTTATTTTGTTTTTTTAAGACAGGGCTTCTCTGTATGGCCCTGGCTGTCCTTGAACTCACTCTGTAGACCAGGCTGGCCTTGACTCAAGTATCCAGGTACCTCTGCCTCCTGAGTACTGGATTTAAGGTGCATGCCACTGCCTGAGAGACTTGGTTTATTTGACATCTCTACTTGCTGCTTTCTCCAGTTTCTACCTGTTCAGTCCTATCACTTCCAGCTTCATTCATACTTTCCTTTAATTCTCCTGCCTCCACCACAGGGTATTAGCCCAATTGTTATCTGAGTCTGCAAGTTTGTCCTGTCTTCCCAAGCCCATCAAACTAATCACTATAGCAGAGTTACCTTGTTACATCAATCTGAGCATGTCACTTTCCTACATAAACCTTGGGAAGGAGGGTAGCACATTTAGGAGAGAACTTCAAATTCCAGTACAGTGTGCACAATCTCTCATTAATTTTCAAACCATGTTTTCAGCTGATGCTTCAGCTACACTGAATTCTGTTCCCTAAGACAGTATTCTCTTTCCCATGTGAATACACTTCCTAAATACACATCAGTAACTATGATATTTTTAAAACTTTTAAAATCCTGGATGGCATACCACTTTCTCCAATCTTCCACATACTCTTTCAGAAAAACTCAGTCCTTTAGTGACATCATAGTTTGTGGAAACTATTTCTTTAATATTATCTCTTTCTAGAACAAGTCCTGCGAGAGTACTAGTAGTATTTGTTCAATGCTGTCCATCCAGCACTTCTTAGAACCAAATGCAGAATTAAACATGAGTCAGGACATTCTCCCCTAAAATGTTGTCCCCCCCCTTTTTTAAATTTCTGATTAACTTTATGATCTTATTACAGAATCCAAAGTTCATGGCAAATGCATTTCCTCACCTTAATTTTCTTTTCTAGTGGGGAATAGGAACCTATTGCAATCCGTGGGTCGTAAGAACTCTTAGCCCAGGCTAATCTAGAAGAAAAGACAAATACTGGGATTGGAGAAAGACATCAGGAAACAAGCTCTGGAATGAACTTCAAGAAGGGTGTTAATTCGAGACCCACTTTTCATAGGTAGTAGAAGGCCCTTCTTTCTGCCAACAGGTAGAATTCTGTGTATATTTAACTTCTGACTTCACCCAAATGAAGGCATGTTTGTACTTTTGATTAAAGTCTACAGAAGGAGCCATATTTAATGGGGGGGGGTTGAAACAACTTTAACACTAAGTTGCTGTTATTGTTTCAATTTACTACAACCCACTATGCATATATTGTAAGAAGAAAAGAAAAATAAGTTTGGTATGAAAAATTTCAAATAACTATTTTAATTGAAATTATATATAAATATATAATAGATTTCCCACAATAGTTGTTTAAATTATTTCATGATTCTTATCACTTAAAATTGATTATTTATTTTGGTTGTGAATCTTGCCTTTAATGGCTGAGCCATCTCTCTAGACCCTTCCTTCCTTCAGACAGTCTCCTTTAAGAGATATGTTCCTGGCTTGGTGCTAGCAGCAAATACTGGCATACTGACATGGCTCTTTTAAGAGGCCTTGCTATTGAACACTTAAATAGGGTTTATGATCAGAGGGCAGTATGCTACTTGGTAGTAGCTTGGACCCAGCAACTTACAGTAGCTGGGCAATAAACATGGCTCCTGACAGTACTTCCACCATTAGGCTAAGCTCTTAGGGAATCAAGTGGGAGGAGCCAGGTGCCAACCACCATGTGCTACTGCCATTCATTAAGCTGAGCAGTGCCAACAACTATCACAGTTTAACATTCATTTCATATGTTCAAACAACGACACAGATGCTCAGTAAAGATAGATCCAGATTGGGAAAAACAAAAACAAAAAACAAAACAAAAACCCTCTAAACGGGTTACAGCATGTTTAAAAATATATATAGGCTTGGGTGTGAAAAGAGAAATGGTATAGACAGTCATAGAAAAAGGTAGTTTAAAAATAAAGTATTTAAAGAATAAATAAATAAAAGGAAAAAAGCCATGCAAAGATGAAAAATACACAGGGAGCCTGTATTCTGTATGTTCTTGTGTTGTCTTTCAATTTTCTGATTGCTAAGGAAGGAACAACAGCTGCTAAGACAAAATGGATTATGAAAACTGGGTGAAACCAACCTAAATATTTTAAATATATCTTGACTTCAAAATGGAAGTCAAATGTATATTGCATTGGTGGAGAGGTTATGTTTTTATTTCCACAGAAAATGAAAGGATATGAATTTGTTTAAGGTTAAAGATGATTATGTTTGATCACGGAAAACCCACTGGAAATCCAGACTACAGACACATGATATATATTTTACCTGCACAAATATAAAACAAACAGTCATCTTTGGGTAACTTGTATAGAACACATAGTCTATACTTGTATTAATACAAACATGTATGTTAGCTTTAAAGATTTATGTATTTTCATAACAAGGGACCTAGACACCAATGAAAAAGGATGGCACAGGTGAACCAGCATCACAAAGTCCCTCTGTTACAATTTCCTCCAAATTCTACATCCAAAACAGCTTCAGATCTGCTGGCTGAGGTGGTCCAGCCTCACAAACTACTCCAGCCAAGTCTTAATCATCCTGATTATCTCAAGGTTCCCTCGAAGATGCTAGTGCCTCCAAACAATAGGAAGTGAACTAGAAAAACCAATACTCACAAGTTTGTTGTCATTTAAGGGGAGTTAGTTACAAGTTATTATTAGTCACAGTCAGGGGAAAAAAAAACTAGATAAAGAAGTTAAATTCAAAGATCTCTTTCTAAAGGAAAAGAGGGAGATAATATATAAGAAAAATAGGAAAAAAGGGTAGATTATTCAATCTACTTTAATCCAAAAATCAAATATTAATCTTAAAATATTTTACATTGTTATGGATTTTGGTTTATTGATACAAACTTAAAGTTAATTTTGTTATACTGTTTATATGTGTTTATACTCTGGGGTATTGTGTTTATGGAGTTCATTTAAAAATGTAATATATAATTAAGTAATACAGATTAGTAGTTATTTATAATAGTTAAACTTATAGTCATGTTAGGTATGTTTTTAAGTTTATACACAGATACATTTAGATAGATGGTCTTCAAACACTTCAAAGACTTACAGAATATGGCATTTAATATGCTTAATAACTTAAGGCTTTTTGTGAGAGACACATTTGCTCTTGACAACACCAATCTACTTCAAAAAAGAAGATGATAGGCATTGAAGAACCTCTGTATGGAGTTTATTTCTTTTATGGCAAAAGCTAGCCATCTGGGCAAAGAAACTGCTCTTGCCTCAACTTCTGACAAACTGAACCACCAGGGTGCAAAAAAAAAAAAAAAAAAGTGACTTCCAAACTTAGCCAAGATAAGGTAGGACAGGACAGTCTTTCAAAATTCCTTGCTTCTCAGAAATGTCTGTCAGATATAATAGGCCTGTAGACTAAAGTTGGATTCCCCAACATTACAGAAGAATGTTGGATGACTGTCCAGGCAGCTGACCTGGCCATTAGGTAATATTCTAAGGTCTTTTGAGGGAGTTAAAGACTAAATAATTAAATTTAAAGTTTTCCTTAGTCATGATAAAAATTAGGTATAAAACTTTAGACTTACAAAGACAGATTTAATAGAGTATTTTTTTTTACATTTTGTTAAATGCAAATGGACTGGATATTATAACTAATTCTTACTTGATAACTGTTTTTTGCTAAATACAATTTTACTACATTCAAGTTAAAACCTCTCTTTTTTATTTAGAGTAATCCTGTATACCATAAAATGAGTAGCTCTCATTGTTAATAAAAAGCCAATTGGCTGATAGCTAAGCAGGATTTTAGGGACAGAGAGAATCCTGGGGAGAGGGTGGAGGCTGAAGAGTCCAAAGCCAGAAGCAGAAACAACCTGGGGAGTTCATAAATGAGGTAAATGAGCCCTGGGACAGCACATGGATTAATAGAAATGGATTAAGTTATAAGAGCTGGATGGAGATACACCTACGCTATTAGCCATTCAGCTTTTTATTAACAATGAAAGCAACACATTTTCATAGTGTACAAAAGGATTACATAGTGTACAAAAAGGAGATCTTCCTACATTTGCCTCTACTATGCCTGGATCTAAAATTTGTATTTTAATAGATTTAAATAGATTATAAAACAATTGGAAAATAAGTTTTAAAACTTAACGAAGAAAAATATGGTGGGGAGATTGTTATTTAGGGTAGAGTAAGGTCACATTAACCTAATTACTAAGTAAATTAGTGCTGTTTATCAATTTAAGCATAAACACTGGTTTATCAGCAACGGAATGTTTTTATATCAGAATTGTACAAAACCCTTGTTGTATGTGTCTTTACTTTCATTTTTGTTACTTCTCTAAGAGTTTGTTTCCATAGCAACATTTCTTGAATGTACACGAAGTATTGTTACAGAAGCCTACATGGAATTACTTAATCTTCTAAACAATCTTACAAGGTTAGTGGTCATTATTCCCTATATGTGGCAAAGAGAATGGAAGCCAGAAATTTAATGGCTCCTCAGTGGTCCTAGTGTTAGTGTTTAGGCACATAAGTCCTATGGGACTCCATTTATTCCCAGATATACACATACATTCTTTTGCCTATATCTTAAATGGAGGGTACACTTACTGTTCCTCTGCACTCAGACCAAACCACTCAGAGTCTGTCACCATGGGTGGCTGTGAGGTGACAGCCCTCAATGTTCTATTCTGCTGTGGTAGTCTTGCACTGCATGGTGTCCCGGAAGCCCCTGTGTTCACTTGTGCTGGCTCTGTGGTCTGGTGCTCTTTCTCCAAAGCATTCCTGGCTTCAGCCATTGCCCTGCTATTTGCCAGCTTCATGAACAACATCTTTGCTCTTCACTCTTCCTCTCAGCTTCTTTTCACCTGAGCTCTAATTTCTCATTCCCTATTCTGTCAAGAACTGGTTTCTAACCACAGAATTTCTGCCCTCAATTCAGATTTTCAGCTACCTACTGTTGATCTTTGAGAATGCCTTTGATTTCTATGGCAACACAAAGCAGTCACTGCTTTCTGTGTGTCATCACCACCCAGAAGGAGCCTACTATGATGTAGTATGTGACGATATAGTGTGTAGGCAGGGATTGGATTTCCCTTTTTGTGAGCTGGTCAACAAGTAGAACCATTTCTGAAGACATAGGAATTCAACTACAGTATATGTAGTCAAAAACAGTCTCTAATAGCACCGAGGGCATCTTTTCAATTTTTTTTTTTTTTTTTTTTTTTTTTTTTTGCTTTAGAACATAAACTATACACACTCCACAAAAATGGAACCAACAGAAATATTTGGTGGTCATACATGTCTGTGCTGTTGGAGGCTAGATATATATGCTGATGGTCCAGTCATATGATCTCATTTATTAACTGATATATCACTCAGCTAAATACTGCTTTGATAAGAGGTTTTGATATGTCTTTAGTCACAGTAATTTATGCTTATAACTGACCAGCATTTAAAGACATAGAAGCAGAAAACATCTGAGTTCAAATTAATAAAAATCATACTCAATTCATGACATTTTGTGTGTGGAAATTATTCACCCCAACAAAGTTATCCTGTAGCCCACTGAGGTATCTCTAGCTCTTAAAAATACAACACGAAAAGGAGAGAGTGCAATCAATTACAACCTTGCTTCTTAGTAGAAATAAAATCTGTCCCTCTCAAAAATGTGCTGTTTACGAAGAAGTACTTGAAACTGCAGGCTCCAAATAAAATATCCAGAAGCAAGGCTATAAAAGTAGACATGTGTATTTTAAGTTTAAAAAATACCATGTTGGGCAGTGGTGGCTCATGATTAACTCCAGCACTCTGGAGGCAGAGGCAGGTGGAACTCTTGAGTTCAAGGTCCGCCTGGTCTACAGAGTGAGTTCCAGAACAGCCAGAGAAACCCTGTCTGGAAATCCCCTCCACCATCCCCCCAATAAAAACAAAAACCAATGTACTTCAAATATTGGCTCATGAAAATTGTTATTTAAATTTCAAACTATATTTTGATATTCCTTTGCTCTCTAAACCTAATGTGATGTCATTTTAAACTTTATAGAAACCATGTCACTCAGATCAGTCATGTGCTACTAGAAAAAACTTAACATACCTAAAACTTGATAACGTATTATCACACCTGAAAACTTAACTAGCCAGGTACTGTATGAACTGCTGGAAGGCATCATCTTGTGAAAACAGAAAAGCCTCTTGATGAAGAGAAATGTGTATTTCTGAGTGTAAGCTTACCTTTAAATTCAAACTGACAAAAGTTAAATGGAGGATAAAGTGTTTATAAGCCAGGAAGTAAATCAGGCTGAAACAAATTATGAGGAAGACTAGACTTCTTTGGCACACAGGGAAAGGTGGCTTGAGTTGAATTTTCTTTATGGTAAGTAAAGAACTTCATGGTGTAAGAGTAACTTCTGGCACTGGGATAACTATATTTGTATGGGTCTATTCTTGGGCTGTTCTTTCACCAATCTTTCATTGACTTGATTAATATAGGGGTGTGTATGTGTCTGTACCTGTGTGAACATGCAGAGGACCAAAGAGGGCATATTCTTTTGAGGGATGGTATCTCCCAGAACCGGGGGTTCCTGTCTCAGCTATGCTGGAAGCCAGCAGGCCACAGGATCCTGTTTTTGTCCCTTCAAGCATTTGTGAATCAGGTGCCCAGCTTGTTATGCAGGTGCTGGGATGTGAGCTCCAGCCTTCACAATTGCAGAACAAGCATTCTTAACTGCTGAGCCATCTCTTCACCTCCTTCCCAATTAATGAAGTTTTTATAGGAAGTTCTGAAGTCAGATAATGTCAGTTCTCCAACTGTTCTTCAGTATTTTGGTTATTCTGGCTTATATAGTTTCTCATATAAACTTTTAAAAAAAAAGTTTATTTATTTTTATGTATATGAGTGCTCTGTCTGCATGCATGTCTTTCTTCCAGAAGAGGAAATCAGATCCCACTATAGATGGTTGTGAGCTACCACATTTAAGACTGTTATCCCTTTTTGAAGAACTGGTCATTTTATCATTTTTTAATATTTCTCTTTATCCCTAATTTGTATTGCTATTGGGCCTTGTCTATGTAACTGATTTAGTGGCTTAAAATTTCTCAAAGTACGATGTGTTTACTCATCATTTCCATCCATCTATTTTTATTTAAAGTGAATTTTCTGTGGATAACATTTATCATTATTATTATTATTTTGACAAGGTCTCACTATGTAGACCAGATAGGCCTCAACTTGTTTTCCTCTCGTCTCCACTTCTGGGATTCCTTGTATATACCACACCCAGTTCTGGGTTTATTTTTGGTGGATGTGGGTAGTAAGTATATCCAGGATTGAATTTAGAGCCTCTTGTATCTTTGGTAAGTGCTCTGTCAGAGAGCTCTTCCTGCACAGGGACAGTTTGTTTTTTCAATTGGTGTATTGAGGTTACTGACATCTAAAACAATTATTGGTTAGATTGTTGTCATATTTATTAGTTTTCTATAAGCTTTTTCATTTTATTGTTTTAAAGCTAGCCTTTCCCTATATAGCACTGACTGGTTTTGAATTCTCAATGTAGGTCAGGCAGGCCTTGAACTCATAAAGAAGTATTTGGCTTGGCTTTGTGAGTACTGGGATTGAATAAATGAGCCAACATACAGATATATGTTTATCTTACCATCTTTCTTTTCCTGCATTTTTAAGTTTTAATTACTTAATTACTTTTTTCTTCTTTAAAAATGGTTGCCCTTGAGTTTGTAGTATGTTTACAATTAATACACGTTCTCTTTCAAATACAATATATTACTTTCGGTGTTATATAGTACCTTGTGATAGAGCATCTGTAGTTCCCCTCATCCTAATAATCCTACTGCCATTAATTTCCAAAGCTGTAATTATCCCATTACTTATCCATAAATTATAATTACTGAATACAAGTTGCTATTATTTTAAATCAATCATTGTGTTTGAGCAATTAAAGTTTAAAAACATTTTTGTTTTTGTCTAGGGCTCTCCCTTTCTTTAGAATATCTGAATTACTAGACTTGCATTGTTTTCCTTTTCCTGAAGTATTTACATTTTATATAAAGCAGGCAGACTAGAAACACATTTTTGTCCATGGGAAAGCCTGGATTTTTCTTTTAATTTTGAAGGGTAAGTTCTCTGGATACAGAATTCTAGGTTTTTTTCCTTAGAATACTTAGACTATTTCATTCTTGTTTCCATGGTTTCTGAAGAGAATTCAGATATACAGATATACAGCATATAGGGTTTTTTTCCCCACTTCTTTTTGTATTATTTCATTATTTTCTGATTTTTCTACAGTTTGAGTATGATAAACTTCTGGGGGTTTTTTGAAAATGATTTCATTTTATGTGTGCTTGTGTACACATGGGGTACATTTTTTCCCTCTGTGCAAGTGTGGAGATCAGGGAACAACTAGTGGGAGTCAGTTCTCTCCTTCTACCATGTGGGTCCAGGGATAACATTTGTAGAAGATGAGACTTGGCAATAAACGCCCATACCTTCTGAGTCATCTCACCAACCCATGTGTAGGTTATTGGAGGCATTTTCTTGCTTGGTATTTGGTAACTTCGTTTGGAAAACTCAGATTTAAATAAAACTAAAATTTTTGTTCCCCAGTGATATAAGCTATATCTTAGTTGCTCAGTAGACACATGTAGCTAGAATGTATCAGACTGAAGAGCCAAGTTTTAACAAGATGGAGTCCAATCTAGGTCTCTTGTAAATGAGTGGTCCACAGAGGGAAGCATCTTCAGACTTTCCTGCTCCTACCTGTCTTCTCCACTTTCCTACCTTTTTTCTTACCACCTCCCCTTGGAGAATGTTCCTTTTCTCTGCTCTTGAGTTTTCTGTCTTTTTGTCTCAACCCCTTTTTTCTCTGGCTTAACTTTGTTGGTATCTACTCACCGGATCCTTTGGAGGGAAAGGAGTGTTTCACTTCCCTTTAATTGCACTGTGGGCCTGCTATTACCACACAAAAATCCTTCACAGTATCAGTGCTTAGTTGTTTCACAGACCAGATGCCACAGCTGGGTATTGAGCTACTGCAACTGAGCAGTGCTATCAATCTGCTTCATTCTGTCAAGAAAGGAAGTTAAAAGCAAAGACAACTCTGCACTACTCCTTTAATAGAGGGAACAAATTGATGCTTTGCTTTTCCCTCCCCTCATTTGGGCCTAGAATAGAAAAAAAAAAAAACTTTGACTTTTAGCAAAATAGCCATCCACAAACCATTGCTTATTTATTTATTTATTTATTTATTCTTATTTTATTTTGGACAGGTTCTCATTGTGTAACTCTGGCTGACTGGAACTCATTATATTAATCAGGCCTTAAATTCAGTTACCCAACCAACCTGCCTCTGCCTCCTTACTACTAAGATTAATGGCATTCACTACATATGGGCCTTACTGTTTTGCTTTTTTGTTTTTTATTCCTGTTTAGCCCTCCTATATGTCCTTTACTAGTTGTACACCTTCAGCAAGTTTTTCAACCTCTCTGGCTTATGTCTTCCATCTGGTGATGTTGCTGTAATGCAAGATGAATTAATATACATACCCAGGATTTTGGACATTCTCATTACTATTGTTTAAGATTGAATATTCTAGAGCACACTGGCTAAGGATGAGGCAAAGTGAGAGAAGAATAGTTTCCTCTTATCTGTTTTGTATCTGTATTTTCATTATTTCAAGACCCCCAGTAGATATTTAGAACTGTAGATGATAGTATTTGAAGGGACTCTAGCCATCTTGAACTTGACAAACATGGCTCTGGCAGGCCTTGCCCTTCTTCCTGATTCCTTTTGCCTTACTAAAAATGATTAGATTATGTTCCTAAAGCTAGTCCCCAAGGTCTATTCTCTTATTTGGTCACTCCCTCCTTCTGAGACTGTCTGCTAAGGTCCAGCTATCAAAATATTGAAGTCCATCAAAAAAAAAAAAAAAAAGCCCCTCTTGGCTCACCTAATTAACATGCCCAATTAAAATTAAACACTTCATCCTACATGGGGTTTCTCCCTTTACTAGTATAAACTGCCATTTCCTTATAGGTCACATTTGTATCTATCTAGAGGTAGTCCTTTGATCCTAATGTGGCACAAATACCCCACCCCCTCTTCCTTGTTCCCTTCCCCTTCTTCCTTATCCTCTGTCTCCTGGCTTTGTCTCTTATTCCCTGCCTTCCATCCCCCTGAGGCAAATAAATCACCTTTGTGCTGAGAACTTGTTCTTGGGGGATCCAGAGCTGATACTATTCCTTTCAGTACTAAAGCCTATACATACTGTTTTTCTCCCATACTCTATTTATCTATGAGCAAGTTTAATTTATAAATTGGGCCCAGTAAAAGATTAACAGTAGCAGGAACATTATGACAATGTGCCATCATAAGAAAAGTTTGTGAATCTAGACTTGAAACATTAAATCGTTTTGAGTCAGGGTCTTGTTCTGTAGCTCAGGCTGGATCCCACTCTGTGATTCCCCTGCTTCAGTTCTTTGAAAATATCTTATTGCACTGTATATTGATAACCTCAGTAAAGATTTCTTTTTCTTATTAAGTGAAGAATTTTCACCTTTTCACTTTAGAGAAGCAACTTCTGGCTTATCTTTGGCATGTCCCAATGCCACCATAAGTATTCTTTTGCTTTGATGTCAGTAGTTAACTAAGGGCTACTTGAACACAGGGATTTCAATATATTGACAGTCAATGCAATAATGGAGACAGCTACTAAAGTGATGGATGGTAGGTGACATCTACAGCATGGGATTGCTGGACAGATAATTCATATGCTAGGCAGGGCAGGCTGGAACAAGAGCAGGCTGGGATAAGAAGCAATTTCATCATCTGACTCAGAATAACACCCAACTTAAAACTTCTGAGTTGTTTATTTTTAGAATATTATGCACTTTTGGACTATTATGTAATTTTAGACAGTGCTTGACTGGATAACTGAAATAAAAAAAAAGTGAAGCTAGTACTGTCGTGGTGGTACATTTGCACCTCTGATTGTAGCACTTTAGAATCAGAGGTAGGCAGAGCTCTGAGTTTGAGGCTAGTCTGGTCTACACAGTGAGTTCCAGGATAGCCAAGACTATATAGTAGGACCCTATCTCAAAAGAAAAAAAAAAAAAATGTAAAACCTAGGGCTGGAGAGATGGCTCTGCGGTTAAGAGCACTTAGCCAATTTCCAGCGTCTATAAGGTGGATCACAACTCTCTGTAATTCCAGTCCCAGGGGGTCCAATACCCTCTTGTGGATTCTTTTGGCACCAAACATGAACTAGTGCACGCGCGCACGCATATACACATACACACACACACACACACACACACACACACACACACACACACACACAAGCAAAGCACTCATCTCATCAATAAAAATACATCTTTTTTTTTTTAAAGTGAAATCATTTCTGGGGTGTGGGATGGGGGTGTAACTGTTCATGAAAAGATTAAAAAAAAAAGATAAAAAAGCCTTTCTTCCTACCTTCTGTGCAGAGAGAGGATGGCATTCTGCCCTTTTAGAGTCAATCCACATATCCTTGCTTTTATTTAAATCAGAGCTTCTCTGGGAACAGCCTGGCAAGTTAGGCCTGCCATTAAAAAACAAAAAACAAAACAGATGAAGCTTCTCATAAAAAACATGGAACTGCAATAAGTTATCACCACTTTTTCTCTTATATATTGCAAGGTCACCTCTTAGCTTAATTGTATAGAAACAAATGATGCTCAGGCATGTTAAGTCACCAGGCCATGAACTATCAAACTTAACTAGATACATCTCCAGTACAGACAACCTTAGACCCTAAGGGTCAAAAACACTGAAAGTTACTTAAGAAGTTTATGTATTTAATATTAATGTACATTTTATATTTAACTGCAGGTGCAGTGGTATACACCTGCAATTCCTGCACGGTGCACTCTGGGGTGTTCAAAGATCTAGGCCACCCTGAGCTACATTAACAATTGAAAAATAGTTCACTCACAGACAGGAGAGATGGCTCAGTGGCAGAGGACACAGGGTTTGGTTCCCAGCACCACATATGAAAGCTCAGAACTGTCTGCCAGTCGGGTTTCAGAGGGTACAATGCCTTCTGGCCTTCTCTGGCATTGGATGAAGGTAGTACACATATCTGATACTTTCAGGCAAGACAGGTGCAAACGTAATTTTTAAAAATTGGTTTCATGCTGGGCAGTGGTGGCTTATGCCTTTAATCCCAGCACACATGGAGGCTGAGGCAGGCAGATCTCTGAGTTTGAGACCAGCCTGGTTACAGTGAGTGCCAGGAGAAGCTCCAAAGCTACACAGAGAAATCCTGTCTCAAAAAAAAAAAAAAAAAAAAGTTTCATGATTTTACTTTCTCAACACTGCAAAAAGTAATTAATGTTATTGTCAACTATAGAAATTATGATGCCAGACAGACTTAAACTGTTGTATCTGGAAGAAAAGGCTAAGGAACATTACCTTGGCAGAAGTATGCATTAATTTTTATATTTCACCTCACACCCTTATCCCCTAAAACATGCTCTTTTAAAACCGGTTGAAATTGGAGACCCATGGGATGAATTTCGTCTATATGTTTGGCCTATGGAGTTAGAAATTCTCTTTCAGTGATATTTAAAATGTTTGTGCATAAACCACCGCCTGGATTGCTACCTTAGAAAATTCCAGCACTTCATCATTAGCCAATTAGTTCCTTCTAAGAGTTGCCATGGAATGATTATTCTCTTCTACCTACAGCACTTAAGCCAGCTGGTTTGGAAAAAAAACTCCAGCTTGTCCCTCACAGGTGGTCAGGCGCAGTCGTTGTGTAAGAGGGTGACTTTCAGCCGGAGACCCTTGGAAAGTGGCTGGGAGAGTCACAGCCTGGAGCCTCAGTTTCCGTATCCGTAAAACCGGCTTATAACTCGCTTCTAAGTGATGGCGATTGCTGACTGAGCCAGTAAACTGCTGGGCAGACACCGGTCTCAGAGGCGCACCCCTGCAGCCACCCCTGCAACCTAGGCAGGCGTCCAGAGGCCCGCCCTGAGATCTGGCGGAGAGGCGCGAACCCAGTACCCGCCGCGTTCTCGGCCCTCCCGCCCGGGACCTCGCGCCCCACCGAGGTCGGGCCCTGCTCGGCGCTAAGAGGCGTGGCCGGCCCTCAAGCCCTGAGCGGCGGCCATGGCCTCGGTGGCGGAATACAAGGGCCTGAAGGCAGGCTACTACTGTGGCTACTGCGAGTCCAGAGAGGGCAAGGCGTCGTGTGGTGAGTGTCCCGCCGTCCGGGTGGTCTTAACCGCCTCCCGCCAGGCTCCTGCTACGTCCCGACGGGTCCCTGGCGCGGGGTTAAGGCCATTGGTCACCCGGGTCCAGCTTCCCGGCCCCATTCGTCTCTCCCCAGCCGGCCTCCTCCTTCCCATCTCGGTCTTCCCACCTCACCCTCACAGATGATAGCCGTCCCTCACAGAGGACAAACGGAAATAGCGGAAGGCTGCCCTCAGTCAATATGGCGCGGGCGGCGTCAGTCACGCAGCTCGCCAGGTCTTTCCGGCCCGCGAGCGCCCGAGTGGCTTCGCGCGATCTTCGAAGGCGCGCGCACTGCATTGTGGGGTGGTGGAGGCGGCGGCGGCGGCTGCGTTGGGCTGAGTGGCGGTGAGCCGACGGGGTCCGAGGCGATGGCTTCCTGGAGCGCGCCTGCTCCCAGCCTCATAGAGTATTTTGAGGGCAGGTCCCTGTACCAGTGTGGCTATTGCAAGGATGACTCGTGCAGTGTCTCCTACGGTGAGCGAGCCTCTCTGGCGGGCGTGGGAAGCCGGCAGCTGCGGCTTGAGGGACTTGGGCGGCCGCAGCCTGTGGAGCATCGGGAAGAACCCCGGGAATGCTCCGCCCTCGTTCCCGTCCGCGAACAGCTGCTAGTCTGAGACGGGAAGGGAGCAGAGGCGATTGGGAGGTTCCTTAGAGCTGACTGCTGCCCTGCATCCCTGCGCCCCGCGTTGGGTGCGGCACAGCCAGGGGCCTCCTGCTGCCTGAGTGGAGGGGCGTGTGCGTGGACACCTGCGCACTGTCGTCTTTGGATAAGTGTCTGGGAGAACGTACTAGAAAACAGGGTCTCTGGACAGATGGTCCCCATCTGCTTTATATATTTTTAAATCAGAGATTCATACCATGCCATTTTGTCAACCCACCTCGGAGACCATAACAAAATCAACCCACTGTGTACTGTCAGGATTCAGGTTTCTTTTCTTTTTGTGGTTTTTCGAGGCAGGGTTTCTCGTTGTAGCTCTGTGGTAGACTAGGCTGGCCTCCCAGGTGCTGGCATCAAAGGCGTGTGCACCAACCATGGCCTGGCTAGGATTTAGGTTTCTTAAAGATTTGTTTGTCTACTGAACCTTCGTACTTGTCTGATGTGTCATGATTGGCAAATATGAAATGTAGGCTGAACGATTTAGGTAATTCAACAGGTGGGAAACTGAAAATATAAATTTAGGTTAGACATTTGTGCATTTTGAAAGACTGTTAGGGGTTTGGTCAAGTATGCTGGGCAGAAGTAGGCGAATCTACTCAAGTTTGAGAACAGCCAGATCTACATAGCGAGTTCCAGGATAGCCAGGGCTACAGAGAGAAACCGTCTTGGAAAAATAGAAAAAAGAAAGTGTTTATTAGGGATCAGTGTGTTTTTAGTGGAGCTGTGGTTTTGGTAGACAGTTACAAATCCTTGAAAGTGCCATTATGGAAAAATGCTTACAGCATAGGGTTAAATAAGATAAACAGGATGCAGATGATTACGCCACAGCTGAGAGGAATACAGCCAAAAAAGAAGCACATCAAATAGGGACAGTGGCTGCCTTTGAGTGATAGAGAATTGTATACGAGAAAATTGGCCAGTGTAAAGTTTTGTGTTTCACGATTTGTGGAAGAAAATTCTTTATTTATGTTGGGTTTTTCGAGACAGGGTTTCATTTTACAGTTACATACAGTCGGTCATGAAGGGAAGGAAGGGAGGAAGTAGAGACAGGAACCTGGGAGCAGAGACTAAAGCATAGAACTGGCTTGCTGACATTTCTCTTGGACTCTAACACCGTTTTCTCCCCTTCTGCGTGCCATTCTATAAAGCGTGTTCCTGTACTTATCTCTGATACAATTTCCTTAATTTGCAAAAGGAAGGAAAAAAAATCCTTGTCTTTTTAAACTTTATTTCAGGTATGCCCTTTACATCTCATCATCCTTGTTTTCTTCCCATAGTTTCAGTTATTCCACTGTATTGCTAATGGCAGTTTCCCTGCCATCATCTTTTTGTTCCCTTGGGATTTGAGTTACTGTCACTTTACTTACTTTGAATGAGTATTTCGATGTATATTTTCCTATTGTTATTCATCAAGCCTGTGTTATACATATTGTGCATATCAGTTATTAGAACTAACATACCTTTGTGCTGGTTAGTTTTTTGTCAGCTTGACATAAGCTTGAGTCATCTGGGAAGAAGAAACCTCAACTGAGAAAATGCCTTCATCAGATTGATGTGTAGGCAAGTCTGTGGCATTTTCTTCATTAGTGATCGATGTAGGAAGACCAAACTCACCGTGGCTGATGCCACCTCTGGGCAGGTGGTACTAGGGTGTACAAGAAAGCAGTCTAAGCAAACCATGGAGAGAGCAAGCCAGTAAGCAGAGTTCTTCCGTGACCTCTGCTTCAGTTCCTACCTCCACGTTTCTGCCTTGAGGTACTGCCTCCATATTTCCTTCCTCCACTTCCTGCCCTGACTTCCCTTCATGATGGATTGTAAACAATAAGATGAAATAAACCCTTTCTACCCCAGGCTACATTTAGTCATGGTATTTATTGAAATAACAGAAAGCAAGCAAATGACAACTTTTAAATAGGTGAGACCAGTGTGTTAACTCATTGGAGATATTAATGAAAGTTTGTGTGATGAAGTCCAATTCCAATGAGAATCTAGATTTATATCATAGAGACAATTTATTGATCTTCAATTAAATTTGAATCATGTTCGATGTGTTTGACTCTTTAGTTAGAATGGATTTTTTTTGTTTGTTTGAGACAGGGTTTTTCTTATGTGTCCCTGGGTAGCCTGAGTTCATCATTATGTAGCCAAGGCTGGCTTTGAACTCATAGACATCTAACTGCCTCTCCCTCTTTGAGTTCTGGGATCAAAGGCATGTGCCACCACAACCTGACTTGTTTTTTGTGTTTTTTTGACACAGTGTCTTATGTTACCCAGGCTGGCTTTAGATTTATTATATAGTTGAGGTTGGTCTCCTATGCTTTCTTGGTCCATCTGCCTCCACCTACCTTTACTTCCTTAATTCTGGGATTACAGGTTTGTGTCACCACTTTTATTTTAGGATGATACATCTTATTTTCATTTGTGTTGTATGCATTATGTTCAGTGTGAAGTACATACAAACTTTTTATTACTCCAGTCACAACATTCTATAATTTTAGTCTAAAATTGTCATCTTTATTTATTTTATTTATTTTTGAGACAGGATTTCTCTGTATTGCTTTGGAGCCTGGTCTGGAACTTGCTCTGTACACCAGGCTGGGATTAAAGACGTGTTCCACCAACACCTGGCCCATTTTTATCTTTATTAATGGTTTTTTTTTTTTAAATTGTGTGTGTGTGTGTGTGTACACACACACACACACACACACACACACACACACACACACACACACACGGCTTTACTAGAAAGCCCTGCCTGGAATGCACAGAAATCCACAGAGGTCCACCTGTCTCTGCCTTTGGAGTACTGGAATTAAAGGTGTGCATTAGCACACCTGGCCTAATTTATCTTTTTTTTTTTTTTTTTTTGAAAGCACTTAGAATTTTAAAAAGAAGACAATAACACAATGCAATGTTCTGGAATTAACATGGTACTTACTTTTTCAGGCATGTGGGCACATTCTTTGACAGTGCAGGATTATCAGGATCTTATAGACCGAGGATGGAGAAGGTAAAGCTATTTAACACAAATCCTTTCTGCTATTGCTCAGTTGCATCTTACACCTGCTCAGTGATAATTGCCTTAAGAATATCTTATATCTTAAGTTGTAAGGAAGTTTAAGTTTAAGAAAATGTTTATTATATTCTTTTGTATAGTTGATTTGTCCTCAGAAATTTATTTTATAAGATTTATTTGTTATTATGTATAGTGTTCTGGATGCATTTATGCCTGCAGGCCAAAAGAGGGCACCAGATTTCATTACAGATAATTGTGAGCCACCATGTGGTTGCTGGGAATTGAACTCAGAACCTCTGGAAGAGCAGAGCCAACTTAGCTGCTGAGCCAGCTCTTCAGCCCTGTTCTCAAAAATGTATTTTCAATGTTAAAAAATTATGCATAAAGCAAAATACATTATAATGAGCCTTGTGTGTTTATTACTAACCGTGGACAGTTACTGGAATTATTCTAGTCTTCACTAATTCTCTATGCTGTCTCTCCTCTGCAAAACATTTGCTAGCAGGTTATATGCTAATTATTATTGTAGAAAGCATATTGGTACAAATATATCTAAGAAGAAATGGTTTTCCTTTTAATTTTATCTACCATGCCTTTATCATTGTATAAAAAAATAATACTAATTTTTCTGCTGAGTGTGGTGTCTCAGCCTGTAATTCCAGCACTGGGAAGCACAGGTAGGTGGATATCTGAGTTTGAGACTAGCCTGGTCTAAATGGGGAGCACCAGGCCAGCCAGAGGTACATGCCCTGTCTCAAAAAATACAAAATGTAATTTTTCAATGGTACTTGGCACTCATTTAAAGATTTGTTTCCAAAAGATTTTTACTCTGTGTGTGTGTGTGTGTGTGTGTGTGTGAGTGAGAGAGAGAGAGAGAGAGAGAGAGAGAGAGAGGGAGGGAAAGAGAGCAAGAGAGCAAGCATGAGCTGGTGAGCTTATACATGCTTGGCAGCAAGCACCTTTACCTGATGACCTGTTTTCTAGATTCACTTTCTGTTTTTGTATGTTGTTTGGGTGTACTTGTATGTATAGGCTGACTGATTGCTCATCACCTATGTATTGTAACAGGGTCTCTCACTGTGTCTAGAGTTAGTGCCATTTTGTCTAGTTAGGCTAGCCAACCTTGTTCCAGGGAGTCCCTATCTGTGCCTCCTGCAAGCCAACATTACAGATGGCAGCCTGGCTTTTGGGGATCTGAACTCTAACTTTATGCTTACACAAAAGGGCTTTTATTACTGAGCCATCTTCCCAATTCCTAGATTGTCTTTTTAAAAATTTAAGTTTTTATGTTTACTTATTTGTGTTTGGATATTGGCTACTGTGTGCTACAATGTATATGAGGTCAGAGGACAACCTATGGGAAGTTGTTCTTTCCTTCTACCATGTGGGTTCTGTCAGGTCATCAGTCTAGGCAGCAAATGCCTTCATCCACTGAGTTACCTCAGTGACCCAAGATTGTCTTAAACGCACACATGCACACAGATACACAATACCCAGCTCATTAATTGATTCTGTAATTGTTCATACATTGTGTTTTCTTGGTAGTTTTTTTTTTTTTTTTCTTGTGACAATGTTCACTATGTATCCCTTGACTGGTCTAGAACTTTTTTTGTAGACCTGGGGTCTGTTTCCTGCTTCCTTAGTTCCGGGATTAAAGCTATACACCACTAAACATGGGTGGATAGTGATTTTTAAGTAACTTTTTTTTTAAACATCTTTTAAAAAATTATTTATTTTATGTACATTGGTGCTTTGCCTGCATGTATGTTTGTGTGAGGGTGTCAGATCTTGGAGTTACAGGCAGTTGTGAGCTGCCATGTGGGTGTTGGGGTTTGAACCCCGGTCCTCTGGAAGAGCAGTCAGTGCTCTCAACTGCTGAGCCATCTTGCAAGCCTGAAAGTTTCTTATATAAATGTAAACAATATGAACCATTAAGTACTGATGCCAGTATTCTCTAAAGCTGAGGTTGAGCATGCCAATCAAAATGTTAACATCCATTAAATTTAATGTGAGTCTCAAAATGTTGATGGAGGTCAGATGTTGTAGCATTTTGGATGACACAGTAAGGATCCTTGTTAAGGTAAGAAGGAGCCATTTAGGGATTTTATATGAGAGCAATATGAGGAAATTTGTTTTGGAAAGGTTCATTTATAAGTCAGAGAGATATTTGAGAGTTGGCAGGAAGATAGAATTCCAGAGAAGAAACAAGGGCTTCTATATTACCTTAGTGGCAATGAAGAGAGGACAAATTTAAGATATGGTTTGCAAGTAGAAATCTTTCTGATAGCATATAGAGGTGAGTTAGAGATGTAGACACATGCTGTCCTCAATATACAATAGTCTGAAATGACTCTGAAGTTCCTGGCTTGAGAAGTCAATCACTGGTTCTGCCACCCACAGGTCTACAGTGCCTATAAATGAGGCTTGTTTTGTGGTATTTTATGCTGGCTGTGTGTGTGTGTGTGTGAGAGAGAGAGAGAGAGAGACCCTGAGCAAGGTCCATCTGTCTCACAGCATCATGGGATCATGGGCATTTTTAATTTTAAAAAGATTTTTATTATTTTCAAAATTGTGTATGGGTGTGTTTCTGTGTGGTGCCATGTACATTTGAATGTGGATACCTGCAGAGGCTGGCGGTGTTGGAGCCTCTGGAGCTGAAGTAATGGGGTTTGAGTGCTGGGAACTGAACTCAGATCCTCTGGAAAAGCAGTACATGCTCATAGCCACTGAGCCGATGCTTCAGCCTCATCACACAGATTTATTACTGTCTCTGTGGCACTAATACAGTACAGGTGAAGACACTGAAGGAGTTGCAGGTGCTGGTGAGAATGTAATCAAAACGATTGACCTTGTGCTTCTGTTGAGGCTTAGGAAAGAAGAAGGTGGTTTGTTTTTTTAAGCTATAGATTAGATTTTTTACCCTTATCGTGAGTTTTTCAATTTATTTTGGTACATGTGAAAAGTGTATAAGACGTTAACAAGCTATTTTTATAATTTTAGAAGTGGGAAATACGTGTACAAGCCTATCATGAATCAAACATGCTGTCCTCAGTATACAATAAGGTAAGGATCTACAATACAAAGATTGTGCCTATTTAAAGTGGAATCTTAAGCTTTTAAATACTATTTCTATTTTAGTAAGAAGGTATAAGGAAAAGGATAGTATATGAATTATCTTTTCTACATACTGATTTGAAATCCACGTATTGATAAATAGATTCTAATATTGTTTAGTTAGTTCTGCTATAAAGATATGAAAAAATACTTTGTCAGCTAGTGGTAAATATTCAAATTATTATTATTTTTTTCCCAAGACAGGTTTTTTCTGTGTAGCCCAGCTGTTCTGGAATTGGCTCTGTAGACAGGGATTTGTCTGCCTCTGCCTCCTAAGATGTGGGCTACCATTGTCTGGCAGAGTCTAGTTTTTTTTTTTTTAATGGAAGAAGTAAACTGATTTGTCCTTTGAAAGTGAATGTCAGTTGCAAATAGCTTCTTGATTAAGGGTGGGAGCTCATGTCCATTTTTCCTTTTCAGTGCCAGGACCCTGTTTTAGTAAGGGTTTCTATTGCTGTAGTGAAACACCATGACCAAAAGCAAGTTGGAAAGAATAGGGTTTATTTGGTTTATGCCTTAATCATTAACCTAAACCACAGTCTATGCAACTCATATAGAACTCAAGTGAAACTCATCCTAGCTGCATGACACTTTCTTATACTTATTTCTGTCCTTTGCAGCCTCTGCTTTATCAGGGGCGGGGCCAACACTGTATCCTACCTTTACCTATATTAATTTCCCACTAAACTAATCTCTATCATAATCCCTTACTATTTTGTTAGAAATCCTTAATCATCAAAATTCTATTTAAACATTATTATATAAAATCATTACTTCAATTAAACAGTACAGCTTAAAAGGAAATCATCTTAAGAATAATCTGTAGGTAAAAATGCCCAGTAGAATGGGGTATTTCCATGAGATAAACATACTACATTAAAGGCAGTGGGAATCTTCCTATACCCATTCACATCATGTCAGATAACAGAAAAATAGCAGGGGCAAACAAGTAAAGGCACAGCAGTGGCCAGAGACATTCTGGAGCTGAAGCCCTTGGGGCCTTGCCTATCTGATATTTCACGCATCAGAGCCTTGCTTCCTGGTGGGCTGAACTCCTGAAGCTCAAGTGTTATTGTCATCTGCTGCTGCTCTGATATGGCCACTGGCAGGGTTTCTGTTAGTTATATATTGCAAAAGGAAGCTTGTCTGGTGATGGCTGAGTGAGACACTGATTTATAGTGTATAGGGTATAGCAGAATGTTGTTAGGAGTCAGTTTATTGATATGCTCTTTTAGCAGAACAAATTTATTTGATTTTCCCCTAGCCCATGACCTATCCAGTCTGATTCATGTCCACATGAACAGTGTCAGGCATTCCATTTCATGGAGTGAGTCTTTTCTCCAATCACGGTGGGTGGTTACTCCCACATTTTTTGTACCACAATTTTACCAGCATAGCTTGCAGGCAGGTCATGGAGTTTGTAGCAGGGTTGATGGTTACCTTTGTCCTCTGGTAGCATGCAGAGTATTTTCTAGAACCATGAATACCAGTTAGTAGGTGTGAAGGCTCTAGTCGGGTACCAGCTCAACTTCTCTGTGTTAAGTGAGATATGTGTTGTCTTCAGCAGTATGGCCTTCACATTAGTTTGTGGGGAATGACCAGTAGTCTTGGCAATAGCCTGGGATATTTAGGGCTTTCCATGGAGCCCATTTGGTCAAGGACATCAATTGCACTGATGTTTCACTTGTTGGCATAAGATGTCTGGTTGGGGCTTTGTCGCTCCCGGTATTTGATGACTCCATTTTTATTTCTCTCTTTCTCCATGCACACACCTATATATGAAGCTTCTAGAGTAAAAGGTTTCTATATGACCCCTCAAATGGACCTTAGTGTTAGTTGTTCCCCCCACATTCCCTCTCTTAACACTTATTATCCATTCTCCTCCCCATTTAATCCTATTCTAGTTTCTTTACTCTTCATATCTATATATTTTATTTCCCTTTCCTTGGGGGAATCCTCCTCTCAGTAGTTCCTTTCTTGATACCTAACTTCTGTGGTTATATGGATTATAGCATGCATGTTGAAGGCTTAAAAGCTAACATTCATGTATAAGAGAACACACACACACACACACACACACACACACACACACAGAGAGAGAGAGAGAGAGAGAGAGAGAGAGAGAGAGAGAGAGAGAGAGAGAGGGGAGAGATAGACTTAAGTGAATCAGCCCAACTTTATTCCAGAGTATAAGGAATATTGTGTAGAGTTGCTAGTTGTAAGAGGCCATGGGAAAATAATCAGTGAAAACTAGTATTTAACAAGTTGACCCATCAGATGTATAATTTCCTGATGGGAAGCCCCACTTGGCTTTTAAATGACTGGTTGTTTCTGTCCTTAACTTTCTCAAGTGCCACTACTATAGTTTCCAAATAAGAACAGTTGTGGAGTTCTTTCCACAGTCCTTTGGTGTTATGAGTTACACTTATTGGGCATGCATATCTCTGTGGATGGTCAGGAAGATGATTTCTGCTTAAGCTGTATAATTTTGATGAATAGAAATAATACTAGGATTTTTACATTACTCAGAATGACATGGGATTCTCAGTCACAAAGACAGCTTTCCACACAGACAGCTAATTTTATATTTCACTAAAATTGAAGCATTTACAGCCAGTCCTCTTGTTGTGGTGATTCCCAACCATAAACTTATTTTCATTGCCACTTTATAACTGTAATTTTGCTTTTTGCCATTTTCCGAAATAGGATTTCTCTGTGTAACAGCCCTAGCTTTGTAAACTGAGCCTTGAGCTCAGAGATCCACCTTCCTCTGCTTTCTGAATGCAGGAATTAAAGGCATGCGCCACCACTCCCTGGCTAATTTTGTTACTTTTATGAATCATAATGTAAATATCTGTGTTTTCCAATGGTCTTAGGTGATAACTGTGAAAGGGTCATTTGACTCTCAAAGAGGTTATGACCCACAGGTTGAGAACCACCAATGTAGAGAATATTGAATATCTTACTGGTCTTCATTGTTGGTTAAGATTCAATTTTGGTTACCTAAGTCAGTTACTACTTATATATGTTTTCCACCTTCCAGTATTTGTTGCCTTTTCCTCTTTTTCCTCTGGTTTATGTTCTTTTCTCCTTTTCCTTCTTGTCTTTCTTCCTTCTTCCTTTAAAAAAAAAAATCTCTTAACTGTAGTTACAGTGAGTTTTAGAGTAGGATTAAAGGCTGCTTTAAATTATATCTTTTATAAAAACAAAACAAAAAATTCTAGGCATGAAATTTGCTGCAATCTACACTATGCTATTATTCTAAACTGACCTTACTAAAAACTTTTAAACTATTTGCTTGTTTTTCTAGGTGTCATCCTTTACAGTTTCAGCCATCCAAATCTCACAAGAAGGTTTTGAAAAAAATGCTGAAATTTCTGGCTAAAGGGGAGATTTCGAAAGGCAATTGTGAGGGTAAGAAGAGATGTGCTCTGGAAACTATTTACTAAACTAATGTATCTCTCCAAGGCTCCCATTTTTGCATGTCTAACTCAGGTCAGGCAGGGAAGGAGACTGTTATAACACAATCCTATACTATTAATCATAAAGCTAATGACACTGATGACACTACCATTTTTCTCATTAGAGTCTCCTAATGTAGGAAATACGTACTGGGAGAGTCTGTCTTTAGAAAAAAATTGAGGGTCATTGTTAAGGTGATTTTTTGAATTGAAATGTTTGTTATTCAAATGCTTCTGACTTGCTTCTAATGATATCCTTATGATGTAAATAGAGGAGCAGATGCTCAAATGCATGTATACAAAATGAACAGTTAACTTTGCTGAATAAAGACCAAGTGGGAGAGATAATTCAGTAGGTAAAAGTACTAGTTGTGCAAGCCTGACTGCCTGATTTGGATCCCTGGAATCCAGTTAATAGGCTAGAGGAGGTGTTATACCCCTGCAATCCTGGCATTCCTAGTAGAAATGGAAGCTGGAGATGAGAGAATTGTCTCAAGCTTGCAGTCCAGGACACAGGCCTGGGCTACACACCTCAGTAGAAAAATAATAAGAGACCCACCTTTACAAAGTAGAAGGCAAAGACTGACTTCCAAAAGTGGTCCTTTGTCCTCTACACAGAGCCTGCATCACACACACACACACACACACACACACTCAGGCATTCACTCACTCATGAAACATATGCACACACTTTTCACTATGTAGTATTTTATGAAATTGTCTCAATTATCTGATCAATTTTAAATTATCAGTGATTTCCCTATATGTAAAAGATTATATTATTTTACTTTTCGGTGTTTTACCTTTTTAAACCTTGTAAGCTTTCCTATAAGCTATACCTAATATGGGGAGTATAAGACTTGGTAGTGTAATTCTCTGAGCTCTTTCTCAGTGCTGCTGTAGGAAGCACCTAATCTTGGGAAGCCCCTACCCTAGTCTTAGTTTATTCATTCATTCCTCAAGTAGGTTTTGGATGTCTGTGGGTGTCATGGTCTTAAGCACTGGAGAAAATGGTTGGCCCAGCAGCTAAATTCTTTGACTTCTTGCACTGCTCTGAATAGATAACTTGGAGTAGGATTGGCTTAACTGGGGTCAGCAAAGAAGCCAGAAGGCTTGATTTTAGAGGTTAAGTGCTAATTAGAGCCTTGGAAATAGTTTTGGTGTAGTTTTGGAATATTATATGTATATCATCATAAGAAATGTCTTGAAATTTTTCTTGGTGTCTAAAAATCATAGTCCATATGTAAATTGATGACTGCCTATGTTTTCACGTGGCCTGTACATTTGGCTCTTTGTTTAACTTGTTATGGGCTTCTCATTTGTGTCTAAAACGGATTTTGTAGGAGGTGACATAGTCATCAGGCTAAGGGGAAGTGGTTGAAATCTTAGGTCACAATATTCTTTAGAACAAAATTAGCTAGATCAGTTGGATATCCGTCCGTCATTGGGAGCTTGACTACAGCTGGTACAATTATGGAGGTACATTTTCCTGCTAGAGTGCCATGTCTCAGATCTAGTAACTTCCTTGCTTTAAAAGGCAGGAGAGTGGATTTGGTAGATGCACTGTAGTAACAGGGTTCCTTACAGTTATATTAATCTTAGGTGTGTCAGATGATGTATGTAGCTGATGATGGGATTTCATTTTTTCTCATTTGCAGATGAGCCCATGGATTCTACAATGGAGGGTGCTGTTGCTGGTGACTTTGCATTAATAAACAAGTTGGATATAAAATGTGATCTTAAAACACTCAGCAGTGACCTCAAAGGAAGCATAGAGAGTGAAGAGAAGAAGAAAGAAAAAAATTTAAAGAAAGACGGATCTAAAGAATTAATTCATCCACAAGCTATAGAGAAGTTGGGCTCTGGTGAACCATCACATTCAATCCAGGTTCATACTGGTCCTAAGCCAGGTAGTGTATGTTTTGTATCAGTTGATAGTTATACCTAAAGAATGATTAGATTTTCTTGTGTTGTTTTGGGAAGTGGAGTTGGGCAGGAATTTTGTTTTGTTTGTTTTCATTTTTCTTTTTTCCTTTTCTTCTTTTTCTTTTTCTTTTCAAGACAGGGTTTCTCTGTGAAATAGTCCTAGCTTTCCTAGAACTCACTCTGTAGAGCATGCTGGCCTCAAACTCACAGAGGTCCACCTACCTTTTCCTCCCAAGTGCTGGGATTAAAAGTGTTTGCCACCACTGCCTGGCTTGTTTTCATTTTTCAAGATAGCGTTTCTCTCTGTAACTGTTGTCCTGGAATTTGCTCTATAGACCAGGCTGGCCTTGAACTCAGAGATTAGCCTCCCTCTGCCACTCATGTACTGGGATTAAAGGCATGTTCCACCATGCCTGCCTTGGGGAAAATTTTTAATCAGATTAATAAATTATTTGAGGGTTGGTTACTTCAGAGGTGGTTTTTATTAGTGATATTAGTGATAATAGGGCACATGGTGATTAAATGAATTTAGTAATTGATATTTAAATAGTTCCTTGCTTGTTTCCTAGTTGGGATTTTCCATGAAGCTCTCATCTATTTATTTCAAAAGCAGTATAAATTTTTGATTTTTATTTACCATTTTTTAAAATAACATGTAGCAATGATCAGTTAGACTTCTTTGATATCAGAACTCATGAATTGAGACATATTTTCTGCTGCTGTTGCAACAACTCTTAAAGATTGGCATCTGCATCCTTTGACACAATTCTTGGAGTCTGACAGCTTCCTTACTCTCTGTTACAATGCTCCTGGGTCATCTTGTACCTACCCTTCATCAGGTTGCACAATACCTGGAGATCATAAACTAGACTAGAAGTCTGTAGTATTACACTTAGCTTAGTCATTGCCTTCTAGGTCTTTTCAGTAAATAGGAGTTAGGGGTCATAAGTTCGTAGTGACTTGTCTTTGTAAATTTGTTGGGAGTGGTCTTTGTGGGGTTTCATAGGAACCAGCTGAGCAACCCCAAGTTTGTACCTGAGTGGGGGAGAGTGGATGAGGGAAAGGCTAGCTATAGATGATAAAAAAAGACACAGAATAAAAGTCAGGAGGGCGGATCAGTCAATTCTGAAATGCCAAGAGTTTATTTCTCAACACTCTTATATACCTTATCCAAAAGGGGGAACACAGTATTATGTATACAAAACAAACAGACTTTTCTTCCTCACTTATTCTAAGGGTTCAGTAACCACACCTTAACTCCAGCTTCTTGTTCCCTAGCCTTGAGGTCAGGAGTAGCCATACCTCAGATTCAGCTTCTCCTTCCCTAGCCTTGAGGGTCAGGAGTAGTGACACCTTAGATTCAGGTCTGTTTTTATTTAGACTAAGACAGCCAAACATCCTTCTGTAGCCACACTTTTGACCTTTAGGTCTTATGACTTGCTGAGGACAGTCCTTGTGCCAAGATGGAGTACAGCCATCTTTATGGGCACCCACAATTTGTGACTGGAGTGTTCTGTGTTTTACTACTTATTTTCATTTGGTTTTACAGTTGTGTCTTCCATACTCAGAAACCTGGGTTCATAAGGTCATTATTAGATTGGAATATCACATGACTACTCATTTGTTTATCCCGTAGTATATCAGTTTTAGAGTATTAATGACTACTCTAGTAATGGGGAGGTGGCTCCATTGGTAGAGTTTTTGGATATTTAGGGCTTATGTAAAAAGCCAGGCATGGCAGATTATGTCTGTAATACTCTGAGGAGGCAGAGACACACAGATTGCTAGGGCTTGCTGGTCAAGTTTTGTTGAATCGGTGAGCAGGTTCAGTGAGAGGTGCTGTGTTAAAAATATCATGGAAAGCTGGTTGAGGTGGTGTTTACATTTAATTCCAGTACTTGGGAGGTAGTGGCAGGTAAATCTCTGAGTTCAAGGCCAGTCTGATGTACATAGAGAGTTCCAGGTTAGTTAGTGCTACATAGTAAAACCCTGTCTCAAAAATTAACAAAAGGAGAAATGTGATGGAGAGCAACTGAAGAAAACACCTAACATTGACTCCTGGCTTCTGTGTGTGTATGCTCACATGGATACACAAACATAAGCACACACAGCTTTACTTCCAGGATTAAGACTATTGAAACATTAAAACTATTTTCTTGCCAGGTGTTGGCGGTGCACACCTTTAATCCTAGCACTTGGGAGGCAGAGGCAGGCGGATCTCTGTGAGTTCCAGGCCAGCCTGGTCTACAGAGCTAGTTGCAGGACAGGGTCCAAAGCAATACAGAAAAACTCTTGTCTCGAAAAACCAAACCAAACCAATTTTCTTACTGTTTTCCCACCTCCCGAAGTATAGTTCTCATTAAAAATGTGAATTAAGAATCTTATAGACTAGGAATCTGTGGAACCTGAAGTTTGTAGGTTTTTTTTGTTTGCTTGTTTTTGGCTTTTTTTTGTTTGTTTTATTTTTGTTTGTTTTTAGCAATGGCTACAGGCATATTCTCTTGGAATGAATTAGAACTTATGCAGGTTTGCTGTGCTATTCAGATCATTTGAAGTAATATGTAATACTTAAGCTGCTGAATCTCTGGGCATGTAGTTGGTGTGGCATACTGATTTTACGTTGATGGTCTGTTTTTATCCTTTAGGGCTCAGCATTCCACTGTCTCTTGTTCTCATACCATGACAGTTGTGGGTTCTCCCTCCTCTTTTCAGACTATATAGTCCTGGTTAGAATCACTATACAGATGGGGCTAGCCTGGAACTATCATACCCACCGCCTCAGCTTCCCAAATGCTGGACTTAAAGGGGTGACTCACCCCACCCAGATAGTTTTAAAGAACTATCAGTTAATGCATGATCTTTTAATTAGAATAAAATTCATTAACCTAAACTTGTTAGCACTAATTAGAGACATAAATATGTTAAAATGAGCAAGGATTCTTATTTTCATTGTTATTCTAGTATTTTTTTTTTAATTGAGCTGTACATTTTTCCTCCACCTCTCCCCTCCCATTCTCCCCTCTCCCATTCCACCTTTTTCACCCACCCCCATGCTCCCAATTTACTCAGGAGATCTTGTCTTTTTCTCAAGAATTCATAATTAAAAGAAAACCCACAACCACCACCCACCAGAGTTTGTTCTAGATTAAAAAATGTCCCTAGAAATGTGGGCCAGAGTGGCAGAATTTTGATCTTTTTTTTTTTTTTTTTTTTAAAGATTTATTTATCACGTATACAGTGCTGTGTGTGCGTGTATCCGTGTATCCCCACAGGCCAGAAGAGGGCATCATATCTCATTATAGATGGCTGTGAGCCACCATGTGGTTGCTGTGAATTGAACTCAGCACCTCTAGAAGCCCAACTAGTGTTCTTAACCACTGAGTCATCTTGCCATCCCAAATTCTGATTCTTAATGTAATGATTTCTACTTGCAGAAAAATGGGCAGATATTTAAAATGGATGGATGAATGAATGAACAAATGGATGTCTTTCAATAATAGAACTGCCTTGAGAAATTTGAATGACTATTTGACTTCTTTGATTGCTCCTATGTCTGGGATAGAATTTTAACGATCCTGTGAAACTTAAATGTGAACTTCTGTACTTAACTGACTTAACTGTAAAATCTATAAGAATTGACAAAACATTTCTAGGTCAGATGCCATTAGTCTAATATTTTGACATTCTTTTTTAGGTAAAGGGGCTGATTTGAGTAAGCCTCCATGTCGAAAAGCAAAGGAAATGCGGAAAGAAAGGAAAAGGTTAAAACTCATGCAGCAAAACTCAGCTGGAGCCTTTGAGGGCCTCCAGGCTCAAGGTCAGCCAGCGTCTTTGTTACCAAAGGCTAAATCCAATCAGCCCAAGTCACTTGAAGATTTAATTTTTGAATCTTTACCAGAGAATGCATCTCACAAGTTAGAGGTACTTACTTGGAAGGTTTTTGTGTCTGTTTGTGTTTTGTGTTGGCTATTTTCTCTGAACTAATACATAGCCATTGATGTTTAACTATTTAGCATTTATGTTACAGTGAGTTCACTGCTATTTGAGAAAAGTATTTAAGAGGTTTTGAAAATATTGTAGGCAACTATTATTATAATTGTTTAAAAAGTTTCATTTGTAACATGTTATTAAGCAGGGTACTTTGGCTTTTTGTGTTACTTGATTGCAATTAAGTAGTTTACAAAAAATATTTTAAAATTAATTTTATCTTAGAAATTAAAATGGCAAAAGTTTAGATCATAATAAGTAAATCAGTTTTATTGTAACATTCCAACCTAGGTCTTGATCAAGGTAGCACCCCAGTGTCATATAATACAAACCTGAACTATACTACTGTTTTAATTAGGGTTACTATTGTTGTGACAAAACATCATGACCAAAAAGCAAGTTGGGGAGGAAAGGGCTTATTTGGCTTACATTTCCATATTTCTGTTCATAATCAAAGGAAGTCAAGATAAGAACTCAAATAGGGCAGGAGCTGATACAGAGGCAGTGGCAGTGGAGGGGTTCTCCTATTGGCTTGCTCCCTGTAGCTTGCTCAGCCTGCTTTCTTACAGAACTCCAAGGATGGTACTACCTGCAATGGGCTAGACCCTCCATCATCAATCAATAATTAAGAAAATGCCCTACACACAGAGGAAGGCACTGGGGAGGCAGAGGCAGGTGGATCTCTGTGAGTTTGAGGACAGCCTGGTCTAAAGAGGGAGTTCTAGGACAGCCAGGACTGTTTGACAGAGAAACCCTGTCTCAAAAGATCAAAACCAAAATTAAGAAAAAAATCTTAACCAATTTAGCTAAATTTTTTTGTGCTGAGTTCCCATTTTTTCCAAGCTGTTTCATATTTCAACAACTAATTGGAATTTTCAATATTAATTATACATAATAGAATTATTTTCTAAACATTAATCATAATTTAAAATATTCCTATGCTTGATTGAATTTGTAGTTTAATATTACTCAAGAATATTAATGCTAATCTTGATGGTGCTGAAGAGATTGCTCAGTGGGGAAGAGTGAAGATCTAAGTTTGAATCTCTAGCACCCATGTAAAAAAGCATGGCCCTGTATGCCTGTAACTCCACTTTTGTGGGGTTTAGGCTGGTAGCCAACAAGATCCCTGGAACTTGTTGGCTAGCCAACCTACCTAGCCAAAATGGTGAGCTTCTAGGTCAGTGAGAGGCATTAAGAGATAGAGCAGTGGAGCTACATTCAGCCTGCAAAGCCTAGGCATGTGTACCCACACACTCATGTGCATGCACTAACCCACACAGACACACAGAAAATTAAAAAAGGATCACTATAGGTATATTTCAGACAAATTTTAATTACTTTGACTATTAACACCTGCTTGTTACTTTGATATAGATATTGACTTTCCTGCTTCCAAAGTTGTAGAGAATTGACCATACTACTTCAAGTATTTTAAGAGGTTTTTATTCTTTGGCCATAGGTAGCATATTCAGGGAGTCAACTACACCTCAAATAATAACAGTTCTATAGGTATCAGCATTTACATTTTTAATATGGTAATACCCAGGGTGTAAGCTGTTTGTTATCTGCTAGCTATCACTCTTCCCTTTGCCAACATGAAGTGCCCAGTTATGCCCTTATTGTAGTGCATTTGATTTCCATTTGCTACTATTTTACTAATGCATCTTAACTGTTAGTATAGTCCTGTGCACAATTACCATTTCTAACTTACCTTCATTTAAGACCCAGAGAGCTTCATTTACTTGTCCAAGATGTTGACATTATACAGCATAAAGAAAACATAATTGTTTACATTTAACTCTACAGTGAAGTACACACACTTTGTGAAAGTTGCTTTTCATAGTTAACATGGTTAGTTGTAGGTTTAGAGTTAATAATGAGGACTAAAAGTCCCCAAAGGTATCGTTAACAGTGTTTAGTGTTTCTGACGACTGATTTTTAGTAAGTTGTGAACAACTAAAATTAAGAGTGTTTATCAGTGCTATGTTTACAGTAGAGATAGAGGTATACAATTTGTCAGAGATGAGGCTTAAATATACAGAGTATCCTCTTTTGCTTTCTCCTTTAAGTAGACTATATATTATAGCATTAACTTTTTCTTCATTTACTAACTTACTTTATTTTTAATGTTAAAATATATGTTTATGCTTTAATATTTGTTGAAACATTTTTTTTTGGATTGGGAGTTTCTATTACTGCATATTCTTCAGAAGTGAATCAATGATTGAATTAATGAACATTGTTTTTTAACTCCTTCTGAAGGTGAGGGTGGTGAGATCTTCTCCACCAAGTCCTCAGTTCAAAGCCTCATTTCAGGAGTCTTACCAGGTCTATAAGCGTTACCAGATGATTATTCACAAGGATCCACCTGATAAACCAACTGTGAGCCAGGTCAGCTTGCCAAGTATGAGATCTTGGTTTAATTACACTATATTTTTGTTTATAATATCCAGTTTGTAGCATATCTGCACAAAGATAAGATTGAGTGAGTGAACATTCTGTAAATGTGAATTCACTATTGTCGTGTTAAGTGCCAGTTATACCCAGAATTTCAAAGTGGAAAGTCACATGCGAAGTTGCCTTTATTCAAAGCTGCTGTGTATGGACACATTTATCTATAATGAGTGGTGGAGCTTCACGTTAAATACCCATGAGAAGAAGGTGTATGTGGCTTGGTGTGTTGTTATGCTTCATCCATGTTATAAACTTGTAGAAAGCAGCTCAGTTATTCCCTATTAACTGAATACCCAGACCTAACAGAGATATGAAGGAAAAGGAAGGCTGTAGAGGTCTTTAAAAGACATCCTTCTCCACTTATAATTTTATATAGCAGTTAATTTAAAAAGTGTGGAGGTGATAAAAGCCTAAACGCTTCATTCAGTAGAGGGGTAGAAGTACTGGCTAAGACCAATTCATAACAGTAGTGGTGGCTAGTGTATTTGACAACACAGATAGAGAACAACCAAAACAGAAACAAATTGGCTCTTGTGAGTTTAAGGTTTTCATGAATGTTGATAGAAAGTTGGCACTCAGGCCTAGTGCCATTTAGCTCCACTCCTGCTATTTTATGACAAATCCTGGGCTGAACTTTGGAAATGGTTTGTGGAGATCTTCCTCTAGCCTCATCTTCAGAAGCGTGTCTACAGGTTGAGTTGGTTCAATAGCATTGCCTTATATTTTCCTTGCTCTGAAGGTGAGGCTAGTACCTGCCTCCTTTGAGGATCCAGAGTTCAAGTCATCCTTCAACCAGTCCCTTTCTTTATATACCAAGTATCAAGTGACCATACACCAGGATTCACCTATTAATTGTGGAAAGACTGAGGTACTGTCTCTTAAACATTTTTCCCTGTATTGACATGATTGTAAAGAAACACAAAATATATTAGCTATTAATTAGAGCTGATGACTGTGAGTCTCATGTTACTGAGCTTTTGTGGAAAGGATTCAGACATAGCATTTTAAATCCTTTAATAAAAAGTAATTGTAAATTCAAGAGGTTTTCTTACACTGTTTTCTCACCAGAATCCTGAATACAGCATTATTAGGGGTTTGTTCTCCAGCCTAGTCAGCAGACATCTACTGCCTATCCCATGACGTGAAAGAACCAAACCTGTCGAGATTATTGTGTAGAGCATCATCTAACAAGCACATGTTGAGGGCCTCTGTTTCTCAGTCTGTGGATGTTAAATGAGGTAGAGATTCTACAGTTGTAACAGTGGAATAGCAATGTGTTGGAATAAAGGCATAGCTGAGCATGGGCAGATGAGTAGGAGTACATCTGGACAGAAAGAGAAGGGTGTTCTGGCAACAGTTTGAGCATGATCAACTCTGTGGAGGCTGAGCTACGTGGTGTGCCCAAGGAACCACTATTTAGCTTAGTGTGGTCAGAGCATTGGCTGTGTGGCAGGTGATAAAGAGAACAAATGAGCTGTGCAGAGTTAGTTAGGAGCCAGACTTCTTTTAAAAGTTATTTTGGAAGTACCACACTCCTAGTTGTCGTTACCCATTTTCAACAGTTCTCACTATGTTTACTTTTGTCTCCCTCTTTATGCTCTTTGCTATTTTGTTGGGTTATTTTTTTTCCAGATCAAAGCCAATGTGCCATTTTGTCTGTTAGTATCTGTCTTGACTTACTCAAAAAGTTTGATAATGAGCCAAGACAATCTAGGACATATTAAAAATATGTATAGAATAGATTAATTGATAAGAAAAATGAACTTGATAGGCAACAGAAACCAAAATTGAACTTTTTTCTTGTGCTGGATATTGTATTGTGTACATGATAGGCAAGCATTGTACCAGTGAGCTACAACTTAGCCCTTGAAGTGATAATTTTCTTTTTAAACAAGAGAATTTTACTTGTATATATAATTCAGAACTAGCCTTATTCCTCATGGGAACGACAAGTCTGTGTCTTGAGCTCATTGTCTTCCAGTCATACTTTTCTCTACAATTGTTTATTCTCAGAGTCACTTCTGGCCATAGAGATGGATGCTGCTACTGTAGTGCACCTCATTCTAACAGTCTAGACCTCAACCTTTAACAACCAGCATGATTCCTTCCCAGAGGCTTCAGTGAACAAGGCAAAAGGATATCTTGCCTGGCTAGAACAATGTGGACTTTAAAATACCTGAGCCATATGTCTTATAGAGGAGGGAGTAATTAGTAGCATGCTTGATCATTTAAGATCCTGCCTGGTATGAAGTCCCCATGGTGGCAGACATACAAAGGAAGTCTGTATTCAAGAATGGCAGAGCCCAGAGGGCTTGGCTCGGAAGATTTTACCTGTATTTTTCACTTTTGTAAATCTCTTGCCATTTTGTTCCTCTGATTCTTTTCACTATTTTTTTTGTTGTTGTTTGTTTTTTGTATAACATTTAAAATCCTCTTAAGATTTCTGAGTCCTAAAGATATCTTGAAATTGCCTAATCTAGAACTTACCCTATGAATTTTACAGGATCTAATTCAGATTTATATTAACTCCATTCCTTGCATTTACAAAAAAGTAGTTTCTCTTGTCTATTCCCTTTTTGTGGTATTATATTATTGTTAACACATTTTATGTATGTGATAAATTAGTTGTATTTTATATAATTTTGTGTCTTAGGACTGGAGAGATGCTCAGTGGTTAAGAATATGTGGTCTCTAGACCACCTGTGTTCAGTTCCTAACACCCATATAGGGCAGTTCACAAGGGACTGTAACTTTAGCTACAGAGGATCCAATACTCTCCTCTGACCTCTTCAGGCATGCACACATAACAAACTTTCATGCATATAATTAAAAATAGCAATAAAGCCCCCAAAATGTTTGTCTTTTATAAGCTGATAAAAGGGATAAGAATAAGTAAATATTGGGGCTGGAGAAATGGTTTAGCAATTAAAAACACTGGCTTCTTTTCCAGAGGATCTAGGTTTGATTCCCTTTATCTACATGGCAGCTCACAAACATCTTTAACTCTAGTCCTAGGGGTATTTGATGCCCTCTTCTGGCCTCTGCAGGCTCTACTTGCCTGTGACACACATACATGCAGGCAAAACACCCATAGTCATAAATAAATAAATGTTTAAAAAGAATAGTTATTTATAATTTGTCTTATTAAGCTTATTTGCTTCTTCTGGTTTTTATCTGTTCCTGTTGATTTAAGACTACTTAGACTGGTGTCACTTCCTAACTCTGGTACAGTTTTAGCCCTGTTCAGCTTCATTTCAGCCTTACTGTATGCACTTTCTGTATGTTACTGCCCCAACAAAACACATTATTTTTACCCCAATATGTTAATTTTCCCCATATGTTAATTTTTTAAAATTGTGATTTGATGACTTTGACATTAAAAAAAAAGAAGTCTGAGCATTGGCTGCTCTTGTTCTTGCAAGGAAAACTGGGTTCAATTCCCAGTACCCACAGTTCTAGGGGGTCTGTTGCCCTCTTCTGGCCTCTGTGGGCACCAGGCACCCATGTGGTACCCAGACTTAGATGCAGGCAAAAAAATGCTTAAACACATAAAAAGATAAAATAAAAAGTTAAAAAGTGTCTAAGCCACTTGGTTCACCCAGGTCTCCGCTTCAGCCCTGTCAATCCCTGGCGTCTCATTTCTCTTGCCACCATTTGAAAACTGAAGGACCTGAAAAGAAGCCCTAGTGTCATGACCCTTGTACATGTGCTTTTGCTGTTGATTCACGAAGTCATCTTGTATGAATGTGAAATTTGTAGTGATGGCGGTTATAGGGGGTTATATAGCTCATTTTACAAATTAACTTGTAGCCCTCCCTATGACAAGGCCCTTCACTTTTGGCAGTACTTACTTAAGGGAAAGTTGCTTATATTCAAGTACATGTGATTGGGCAGCCAGTGGTGGTTCCTTTCTGACCACCAAGACAGGGAAGGAGCTGGTGGCCTGTTGATTTGCTGCCTGGCTCCCACCACTAGGTGGTAGTCTAGGCCTGAAACACCTTTGCACTTCCCTTTTGGCTCAGTGCTCTTCCTATGTGATGTGCAGCTTGATGCTGGCAGCCCATGACGTATGGAAAATGCTATTCCTGTTTGTTAGACATACTTGCTTTGATAAAAGTGCAAGCACAAGTAGTTCATTTCCTGGGAATGGTTTAAATGTCTTAATGTTATTTAACCCAGAGAAACTTATAGCTTGCTTTTCTTTTGGTAGTTCTACTCCATTTAGAAAATTATTCAATGCATCAAAGTTATGTTGAGACCAATGTCAGTTATGCAGAGACCAATCAAATGTAGTCACATACTACTTTACTTTATAGATACTGTACTCTTCCTTCTAATTAGCTGAATTGGTATGATGGCAGGATCTAGTGTTTTGAATTTGGGGAAGGTACTGGGGATTGAACCTAGGTTCTGATGCGGCATGTACTCTACCATGGCCTCTAAATAAAAATTTAAACCTGAGTTAACAATAGAACTCTTTGGTAATTAATTAAAAATTGCTTTTTATGAGCAATTTCAAAGTTAGAACTCAATGGTATATTATAGTCAGTCATAAACTCTCTAAGAATTTGGAATTTGCCACTGACAGTAGTTAAATTGCCAAAGGCACTGTTGACTTTCCAGTGTAATGGTATTAGTACTTTACAGGGAAACAAGGAAGGGGAGTTCAAGCTAGCTTAGAAAAGAAATCTTTGCTTTCTATTTTTTATTTGCTTAAATTTTCAGATTCTCAACATTGTCAGCACCATATGTAATATTAGCAATAAGAGGATAAGTGGATCTTATATGTAGCTTAACCTCTTTCTCTCTCCTTGTCTCTCTCTCTCTCTCTCTCTGATTTTTGCGACAGAGTTTCTCTGTGAAACAACCCTGGCTGGTCTGGAACTTGCAGAGATCCTCCTGCCTCTGCCTCCTAAGTGCTGGGATTAAAGGTGTACACCACCACTGCCCAGCTGAACTTTTCTTATATATAATAATTTGTTCAAAGAAACACAAGTGGTTAGTGCAGGGCAACATGTAAGAAAGTTAGTACTGTTTACATCAGACCATGGGGCTGAAGTTGGCCTAAATAATTCATATAGACTAACTAACATCGGTGAAGGAAGTATTAAAATAAATTTTCTAAAGAACCGAAACATTGTGTGTTCTCAGAAAATCTAAAATGACAACTTTTCCGTGTGTATTTTGTTCTTGTCTGTTCTCAAACATAATATGCCCTCGGGAATATTTGCTCTTGCTGTATTTCAGCATCCCTGTGCCCCACCATTGTCTTCCCCACAGAGTTACTGGTCTGTGTCACCTCTTTTCCTCTTTCTTGCTTTCAGTACTTGTATTAGTTTGTCTAGAATTCAAATTTGTTCCCCTTTTAATTTTGTGATATATTTGTTAAAACATATAAGGTACTGTTTCAGAGGCAACAATTGAGCAACTCAGTGAATAAATCAGGCAAAGATCTTTTGCTTTTGTGGAGCATCCATTGGTGGAGTAAGACTAGAATGGTCAGAGATAGTCATTAAACAGCAAACATAATGGAGTAGTTAGTAGTTGCAGGTTAGCAGGTGTTACAGAAAAGGTAGATATAAAGGTGGTTTGGAAATACTGGCCGTTAACTGGAAAACCAGGTTACTAAGTTTATTGTTAGTAATTTAGAAAATGGAAAGTGACACATGAGAGATGCTTTGGTAAAATAATTTAGGATATTTATTGTTTTAAATTATGTGTATGTGCCTTTGTGTGGTTATGTGAGCACAGTACTAGCTGAGGCTAGAGGTTTCAGATCCCCTGGAGCTGGAGTTACAGTCAGTTGTGAGCCATGTCATGTGGGCTTTGTGAATCTGAACTCAGTCAGGTCTTTTTCAAGTGCAGTAC